GACGACTGAGGCGATGCTGTCACGAGTTTGTTGGGAAATAGGTTTCACGTTGCCAGGAACTTTCAAATGGAACCCAACCCCACCCAAGCCTACCACATCTACACCTAGGCTTGCTTAAAAAGCAGCTTGCTTAGGTGGCTCCTGGCCATGGAGACTGTGAAATGGGAAACTGTGGGGTTTTTCTTATATCGTGGATGGAAAGCGTGCGACGTAGGGACGAAACTGTTTGGGAAAAGGGCGATTCTCTGTCCAAGAAATGAGGACGTTGACAGGATAAATGATGATATTGTGAATTGTTCCCAGGGGGGATTGAAAAGTTATATTAGCGTGGACTTAATCGATTGCGAGGATCCCATTTCTCCTTAGGCGAAGACAGCTCCACGTACAACCCACCTTTGCTATGACAATGAAATACTAAGGCCAAACCTCGGAAAAGGTGGGAATTTATTTGTCGAGTCAAGTTTTTGGTCATGGCGAACTTCATATTCCTTTTTCCTCTGTTCGACGGGGATCACTGTAATTTTCTTTCTGAAGTTGTTGGGAGCTTGGAATGGAGCAATTCTTTTCGCAATGGCGATGATTCATATGTTTATTCCACATATTGAGAAATTGGAGATCCATTGGAAGATGCCATTAAATAAGTAAAAATTTTCTCTCTAAGCAGACGGTATTGGCGACCGAGAATCCACATAAGATGCTGAGAAAAGAAGAAATGCTTCATCTCATTCAGCGTGCTGCAAATCTTCTGAAAAGGGCCATCATTCTCGTTGGGGAGAATGAAGATGGGTCTTGTGAGTTGTAGATTTCTTACTTCCTGATTCCTTCCAATCTGAAAAAGAAAACAAAAATACCTAGCATAGGACATCTCATAATATGGAGTATAAAATTTAGCAGCATTGATATTGTACATATTCCATTTTCTCTATTCACACCAAGAAATATATTTTCATGTAAACAATTATGAATTTAAAAGGAAGCAAAAGAATGTAAAGATTAGTAATATCAAATCCAATCATTCATCAAACAAGAATTTGAAGGGAATTCCATTGTAAATTAACATTCGATATTAACTTCAATAATGGCACTTCAGGGAAAGGGTTTGATGCTTTTTCTCTTTCATGCATAATAAAAATTTAGGAGTCCAATGTGGAATGTCACAAGAGTGTAAATAGATCCAAAACCACAAAGTCTCTTACCAATATGTACTCAAATATTTCCAAAAAAGGCAACATCTAAATGAAACCCCTATGAAAGAACCTCATATACCTCGTATTTCACATGGGGATGTAAATGAATTTATAGGAATCGCACAAGTTTTTTGAATGCGTAGAACCTGTTAGGTTCTATGGGGAATTTGAAAGGATCCTTTGGGAAATTTGAAGGAAACGAACACCTACAGGACAACTTTGTGGGGAACTAATGAGGAGACTCATTAGGGTATGAATGGTGCCGAAATTTTTCCTGACAATAAGCGACCATCCTTTTTATTCAACCCCTTCAAGCGGCAAAATTCACCCATCTTATATGCCTCTCTGAGGGCATAAATGGGAAAGTAATTAAGCGTACTTGTTTCATTCTCAATACAGAAACGCTGCAGAAAATTTGAAGCTTTTTCTCCCAATGGTTGGGGTGATAACTGAATTTCGCTTTTCGTGAATACGAATTTCGTTTTCTTTTCTTCCCACATGAGTAGGCACTCCTGGGAAGTTTTCAGGTGAATGAGACCTCCCAAACAAATGATTAGTACTTGCAGCTGACAAAAGGGGTCCTCATTGTTGCTTCCGTTGTACAACTTTGCTATGGAAAAATGTAATGTAATTAATTTACATTTAGCATGATGGCTCCAGTCCCATAACAGTGTTGTGAATATCGAGCCTTAGTTATGCCAGATTCATGAAATTTTTGGCTTTAGTATCACAGTATGCATCTTCCGTTTTTTAACATGAGTTATTTTGCTTTGAGTTCATTAGATGAACTCAGATTATAATGGCGACTAGCAACGACCATTTGTAGTAATATTATCATCTAAACATGAATTTCTTGTTTTAAAGAGCACATTAGTAAGAGAAGAAGCGGTGCATCTAAAGATATCTAAAAAGAAAGTTTCTCTCTAGGGATTCTATGACATAGGAATAACTCCATGAGAGGAAAACCTTGAATGGAAGACCTTGCATATCAAAGTCCTGGGGGGGGCGCAATGTCGATCACTATGTAATATACATTGAGGGACAAAATTGTTGCACGACGTTCGACGACACATTGCCAGTTTATGACTCATAACTCGAGTATGACGAGTTCATTTTTACTTAAATTTCAGTCAATCATACTTCAACTTCCTGGTTTTGTCCCCTATTGGATGAGCTGCAGCTGTTGAAAGCTAACCAGGGCATTGCAACAGTTTTGTCCCTACGTCCCACGCTTTCCATCCACGATATAAGAAAAACCCCACCGTCTCCCATTTCACAGTCTCCATGGCCATGCTATTCACATAATATCTACTCAAGGTAATGGTTTGCCATTCACTTGGAAACACTTCGATTCGCTATACACATGGTGTTTGAACATAAATATACCCACTCGTCTTTTGATCCTTTTGCAGCAATCACTTAGCAACAAAGAAGGAAACAATCATGAATATAGTGCAACACAGAAATCCAGTACAGTGCGCTACGTTTGCTCTATCCTGCATTATGAAAGAAAAAATTCGAAGTAGAGTGGACAAACAAGTATCAATCTCATGGACAAAAGAGAAAAACACTGAATTGAGTTCTATGGATTATTTTTCAGCGACCATTGTTCCAGAGGATGGTTTTGAAGAATGGATTGGGATCATATTTGCCTGGGATAGTTCCTCTACAGAAAAACCACCCAATATCATACCTCTGGTCCAAAACTATGAAGATCTTCGATATCTTCGAGATCTTCTAGATCTTCTAGATCTTCGAGATCTTCGATATCTTCGAGATCTTCGATATCTTCGAGATCTTCGATATCTTC